GACGACGTGTTGATCCTGGCAGACGGTGTCCGATCGATGTGAGGATGTTGTTGTTCGTCGGCGTACCGGTGTCCGCACACGGCGTCCGGTCGGCGTCGACAAAATGTTAACAGTAAAATATAAGCCAAAAAAAAGGGCTGCTGAACTCATCTGGAGCTCCGCCTCGCTCCAGTTAGGTCCAGTTTACAAAGAAATTTGCATACATGATTAATGTTTGTTTGACGGCGGCACCGTTACTACAAAGGAGGTTACGGTACTGCGAAAACAAAATTTTATATAATTTATGTATCGCTTTTGCTTCCTTTGTTTTCTATTTTCCATTCGAGGCGCTTTTCCTCGACAGGCACAATAATTGTGAGAAAAAGCTGCTAACAAAAAAAAAATTTGTGTTTCCAAACAAAAAACCAATCTCCTGCTGTACAAAAAAATCCAGGCACAATAATTATGGAAAAAAGCTGCTAACAAAAAAAAAAAATCAAAGGTTCGACTTCACTTCTGAGGTTCAAGCTTCGATGTACGATTCGTTTATTCGTTTTCGTGACAAACTGGTACTGGCGTGTGCCAAGAAGCTGAAATCACTGCCAGCATGATACTTCTAAGCAACCCTCGAAAGAGTGAGCCATCGATGTCCTTGCTGGGCTTATGGTTTTTGCTGGCAGTTGCAACCACTCGTTCTAATTCCGATCTCCTTCACCTCTCACAGAGAATACCTTGAATACCTTGAACACCTGTTATTTCATCGATCTCTGATGTCACGCCATCGATGCAGCTGGCAACTTCTCCATTTCGATCGATTCTGAGCCTGACGAGACCAGGTGACACCATAAAGGCGCACGATTGGATCTCGCCATCGTGCCGGGGGCCTCCCCAGTGTTCGTTTCATCGCGCGTGGGTACTACTCCATTATCCGCTTCGTCCATCGGTTGTCTGATATCCTTGCCACATGACCAGCTCCACAGAGAATAAAGAAACTAATTTGACTTTTTGACGAAACACAGCAGATGAATTAATAAAGAACAAAGAAAGGTCGAAAAGGAATGAAACATGCCTAGCTACTGTCTTCGGCATGAGGCAAAACCAGGAAAAGAGGGGCAGGGGGCGAAGGATCTTTCGGCACAGGCACCAGTGCTGCAAAGGCTCGA